TTACATTTATTTATTGTGTGTGTGTGTGGCCAGCTCAGCCCACCAGGGGGCGGGGCTGGCTGGCATGTGGTGCTGGGGATCGAACCGCGGTCCCTGTGCTATGCCAAGCTTGTTTCAAGTAGGTGCTTTAGACCACTGAGCCATCTCTCCAGCCCGATTTCATTTTTTTTAAAAATATTAATCATTTTATTTTTCCTCTGAACTTTTGGTTAACTTTCCAATATGAATCTTTTGGGAAAAACCTCTAGACAGCCCTTCGTCTTCTGCGCAGCTGATGAATTCCTAACACTATCCGCTTACTGAGCTCTTGTTTTTCCAGGCGGGGGCCATCTGCCTCACGCACATCCCGCTCTGCAGGTGCTCTTCCGAGCTGCCTCCCACGCGTGAACAGACTGAGGCTTAAGGCATGAAGTGACTTAAGATCATGAGAAGACAGCAACGTGTCACCCGCCCACAGACTCCCCCTGTAAACACCTGTGCACGTCCAGCCCCCAGAGTCAACACCCCGGCACACAGTCCCACATCGGTCGCAATTCGCTGTTCTGTTCACAGGCCAGCCCAAGCCCCAGCGCTCAGTGCCAGCTCAGTGAGTGCCTCACGCAAGATCTCTGTCCCCACACACCCCGAATACTCAGGTACCCCTCCAGAGCAGGGTTTTCTGAGGAAGAGCACCGTGAAAATGTCACACCTTTTCCCTTTCGCTGGCTTATAAGTGCTTTTGGTCTTGGGGCTCCTGCCAGGTCTCATCTTGCAAAAGGGCTGACAGGACCTGGGAAGACGGGGGGGCCCCACACTTCACAGGAAAGGGGCGCCGCGGCTTACCAATGAAGGAGGGCTGGAAGAGGGTCTCCGGGCAGCGGAAGCGTTCGTTCCCAATGGTGATCACCTGCCCATCGGGCAGCTCATAGCTCTTCTCCAGGGAGGAGGAGGATGCAGCCGTGGCCATCTCGTTCTCAAAGTCAAGAGCTACGTAGCACAACTTCTCCTTGATGTCGCGCACAATCTCGCGTTCGGCTGTGGAGCAGAGACATGAAGGCTCGCTGAAGAGCTGCCTGGCCCCCGAGTCTTACGCTGAATCCAAAAGCCCCAGAGACCCTTAGCTTTCCAAAAGCTACCTGACCCGGGTGGACTGCAGCCCAAACCCGTGGCATAGTTATCACTTTCCAGAGGGAGGTTGGCGCTGGCTCGGGACCAGCCTCAGTCAGGAGGCAGAAGTGCACGTGGAAGGCAGCGTGGAAGAAGTGCCCTGGTGGTGCCTTCTAGGCTCCTGAGCTCTGAAGTTTCCAGCTCAGTTTCCACCCAAGCCCTGGGAACCTTCTGGAGGTGTTTCGGGATGAGAGGGCTAGGAGCAGGAAAGGAACTGATTCGGTCCCATGCCACAAAAGGAACTTTAAAATGGTCAGTCGGGACAAGGACTGGGGCTGAGAGCATCTGGACAGTACTGAACACAACTGTGCAAGCAGGTGCCACCGGCACTAAGGACGCTCTGACGTTCCTATCGAAGCCCTATAGTGCCCTCTGGTGGACAGAGCATGAGTAAATAGCGTCAGCTTTCTTTGAAGACAGTCACCTACTGGGTCCATGCGTGCCTTATCACGTTTCATACTCATAATGACTGTGGGAGATGGAATCTATGATTACCTCCGTTTTCAGATCAAAAGATAAGTTAACTTGCCCAGTGTCACACAGCTACTCAAAGTTGGGGGATTTATACCCTATTTGGATGGCTCCAAAGGTTTGCAGTCTCCACCACTGTTCGGTCTTCAGTCTCTGCTTGCTCTTTTCCACTTGGTAATGAAGGGGATTAAACAGTGCTCAAATAATGCACTTGACTGGTTCCCTGCACTGTCCCTCAAAGAAATAATCTCATTTAACTCTTTCTGTGTGTGTGTGTGTGTGTGTGTGTGTGTGTGTGTAAGGGATTGCCAGTACCTTCACATTAAACTACATCCTCAGATGTCCCCCTCTCCCATTTTTTGAAAACATGGTTGATCTAAGTCACTAAATTGCCTTAATTTTTCCAAGTTGGACTTGAACTTGTGACCCTCCTGCCTCAGCCTCCCGGAGTGCTGGGATCACAGGCTTGCACCCAGATCAGAAAAGCTGTTGTTTGTGCCACACCTTTAGTAAGTCTGCACCCATCATCTTCTTGGATACACAGTGGCCCTGTCCGTTAGGGTGGGCAGCCCACTGCCCTCTGCCCTCTTCTCCATCTCCACAGGCCTCACCAGTGGTCACGAAGGAATAGCCTCGCTCGGTCAGGATCTTCATGAGGTAGTCAGTGAGATCTCGGCCAGCCAGGTCCAGACGCATGATGGCGTGGGGAAGGGCATAGCCCTCATAGATGGGCACATTGTGGGTAACACCATCGCCAGAGTCCAGCACGATGCCTGGGAGACAGTTGGGCATGATAGTTAACAAAGCAGAAGGTATGTGGTTGGAAGTCTTGGTTGAGGGGAATTTCTAAACTTTCTGTTTGAAAGGAAGAGTATTTCAGGGGGATAGAGAGGGTTCCATAATAGTGATATTGTTGAAAAAAAAAAGCAAAAGAAAAAAAGGCATAAAGCATAGGAAAGATGAAGAAGAAGAAGAAGAAGAAGAAGAAGAAGAAGAAGAAGAAGAAGAAGAAGAAGAAGAAGAAGAAGGAGGAGGAGGAGGAGGAGGAGGACGAGGACGAGGACGAGAATGAGGAGAGAAGAATGAGGAGGAGGAGGAGGAGGAGGAGGAGAAGGTGGACCGGAGAAATAACTGAGTGTCATAAGTGCCCACCTCGCAAGCACAAAGTCCTGAATTCGATTCCTGGTACAAAAGAAGGAGGAGGAGGAGGAACAGGAGGAAGAGGAGAAGGAGGAGCAGGAGAGCATAGAAAAGTTCTGCCAACACCCATCTGGAAAAGGTGAGAAGACCATTTAGGGCTGGAATCACCCTGCCCCACCCTACGTGTTCATAGTCATCGAGTCTCACTCCTAGTGTGCTCGCTGGGTCAGGGCTCGTCTTGCTCCCAGCCACTTACCAGTTGTGCGTCCAGAGGCATAGAGGGACAGCACCGCCTGGATAGCCACGTACATGGCCGGGACATTGAAGGTCTCAAACATAATCTGCAAAGCAATCAGAAGAGCGAAATCTGTGATGCTGCCAGTCACATGGACAACCAAGAGAACACACCTCACTTACGATGCAGATGGGCCAGCCTGGCTCTGAGCACAGGACACCAAGGGAAGGGAGGCCTTGGCAGCCCTGGTCACTAAGAGGAGATGAAAGTGGTAATGGAAGGCCATCACGTGGGTGACCTGATGGATGGGGACAAGAGGAGGCCATGTCCATACAAGATTTCCCCCTGGGAAGAGGGGCCTAGTTTTTTGCTCCTGTCCTGCTCCTGAGTCCGGTGTGACCTAGGAGGACTCATCAAGCTAAGACAAGATTGATACGGGCACTGTTCCAAGTCTCTCACCTGTAAATGCAGGAAGGATATGGATTAGAGGAACTCTCAGGCTTGTCCAGAATAGCTGATCAAAGCCAAAAAAGAGACAACACCCTAGTTTTGATTTTGCTGGCATAAACAAAGGGGTACTTTAAGTCTTACACCTCATCTGGCTGGGATTGGCCCCAGTTTTGTGGTCTGCTGGAGGCTCCATTTAATCTGCTCTACTTTCTATATGACTGGGGCAGCACCAGGTCTGCAGTGGTGCTGGTCGGGCTGCAGCGGGAAGATCCTGATTCCTGGTGGGCAGAAATGGAATTCCGGTAACAGCAGCCCTCTGAATCCTGAGCTCCCAGCTCCTGTAGTTCAAGGACAGGAGTAGATCTAGGGCCTCTCCAGGTTCTGTGTTCAAAGATGTCTGCAGCCCTCAATTCTGTCTGTAAAACCCTCCCTGTCTGACGTGTTAGGGAGCTGTGATTTTCAATAATTCTCTGCCTTCGCACTGTTCACGGGAACAATAACTGCAGCTGGCAATATGCTGTGCTTGCTGGGTGGAGGGTTTCCCACACCCACCAAGCTTCCTCAGCAGAGAGGAGGCCTGTGGAAGCACCAAAAACCCTTTCAAGGAAAAGACCCTGCAGAATTGACATATGAGCTCCCCAGGGCCCAACGGTCAGGGTCCAGTTCCAGGCTCTGCCACTTGGAGGAAATCACTTAACATATCCAAGCCTTTATTTCTTCACTTAAACAAAAATCAAGAAAATACTATTTCCTGTTTCACACTGTGGGGATTTAAAGAGGCTTCAGGTAACGATTTCAGCCCAGGGCTTTGCCATGACTAGTGTGAACTAATTTGCATTTTGCATGACTCATAACTCATCTGTGTTAGAAACCTTTGTGCCTGCTGGACTGGATGGCATTCTGCTCTAAGGTGGTGAGCTTCACGCAGATAAAAGCAATGACAATAAAAATATCATTGGTTGTATGCTTATGAAATCAGGTACCACGATATTCCTCCCCCATTTTATGTATTTGGTACAGGGTCTCACTATGCAGCTTGAACTCGTAGTGATCCTCCTGGGTGTGTGTGTTTGTGTGTGTGTGTATGTGTGTGTGTGTGTGTGTTGTTTTTAGCAGAACCAGGGATTGAACTCAGGCCCTTGAGCTTGCCAGGGAAGTGTTTATTCTACTGAGCCATCTCCCTGACCCCTCCTCGCCCATTCTTGGTGGCCATCTCAGTGCACCCCAGGGACAGGGCCAGTGTGGCATGCAGGACCAGGTATCGAACCTCAGTCCCTGTGCTTGCCAAAGTAGGCACTTAGTCTGCTGAGCTATCTCGCTGGCCCTACACTTATCATTTTGTATCATTAGTGTTTGCACAATCTTTGAAAAATAACAGCACTATTATTCTCAACATACATATGCTCTGGTTTCTCTTCAGATCGTATAAATCTTTTACCTTATTCTCAACTTACAGTCAAAGGAAAAAAGGCTCTGAGAAATTAAGTGGGCTCTTTCCAAGGCTGATAAGTGAAATTCAGATTTCAAACCTAGATGTACTACTGTAGAATCAATTTACCATATACTGCAATGCATTTTGAAATGACTTCCTAGAAGTTATTTAAACTAAGCACGTTCCCTTCTCAACTAACTCTTTTAACCTTCTTATTGCTCTTAGAGGCAAAAGTGTCTGTCCCTGTCCTCTGGAATCCCTGAGTTTTTGGAAATTGGTCTGTATGTGGGCTGACGGATGGTTGGTGGTCTCTCTGTTCTCCTGTTACGTAGCTGCACTCAAACCAGACTTTCTCCAAATCCAAACGAGCTGGGTGCCAGGGTGCACACTTACCTGGGTCATTTTCTCCCGATTGGCCTTGGGGTTTAGGGGTGCTTCAGTGAGCAGGGTTGGATGCTCCTCGGGGGCCACGCGGAGTTCATTGTAGAAGGAATGGTGCCAGATCTGGGGGACAGTGGAGAAACGTAATGATGCGATACGGGGGCACTGCAGATCCCAAAAAAGGATCAGAATGAACTCATTCTGCACTTTCCACTCACTGACAGTGAATCCAGGACCAAATCAACCTTTGCAAATCTTCACTTAGCACCCATCTGTGTAAATGCAGGCAAAAGCTCAGTGACTGTGAGTTCTTCACATGAGGATTCACATCACAAGCACAACAGAGCAAAAACCGAGTGCCAGCCCTGTGAGCCGGGGTGCGCGGTGGTCAGGCCCACAGTCTCCACTGTCAAGCTGGGGTTCAAGCATCAGTTGGGCAACTTCTTTGTTATGTGAACCCAGCAAGTTTTTAACCCTTCTGGGCTATAACCGTTTGTAATATGGGGATGCAAACAGCTAATAAAGACTCTTCAGGTCTCTCTGAATTAAATAAGAACCCTGGGGTTACCCATCAGCCCAGTGCCTGGTCCAGAAGAAATGTGACTATCACTCCATTCTATTTTACCCTCTGCTTCCATGAAGTCAGTAATTCATGGGCAAATCATTGAGTTTCGTGAATAAATGGGCCAATACACGTGTGCGTGAATGGACAAGGGAGGCTGAGCTGAAAACCTAAGGCCACTGCCAGGCTTCTAGAGAAGCTGCCTTCCGTGGTGTATGTGGAGAAGAAAATAAACCCTGTTTCGTGGGGCCTCTGTGCTGCTCGGGGCTAAGAGAAGCGCCCTCTGCTGACACAACCAGTACTTTCCAGTCAGTGACAGCTATTTGGCTTCAAAGAGTTTCCACAAAAACTTCCTACAGTTTTGTACACAACGTGTTTGTGGGAATGGACTTTGTGTAAAAGTACATTTGCTTGTGATTGAGGAGCTTTAATTTTTTGGACAGCAAAAGAAGTCCTCATAGCGTTGCAAAAGGGGCTAAGGTAAAATTTAAAAGCATACAATGTCACTACCAACACCAGGAATATTAAATTCTCCCAGAATTAAACCAAAGCAGGGCTGGCAAGATAGCTCAGTAGACTAAGCACCTGTTTAGGCAAGTGCAGGGACCAGGGTTCGATCCCCAGAGTGCCGTGCCAGCTGCGCCCCTGCACATGCTAAACGGACCACTGAGACAGGGTATAGTGGCACACGCATGTAATCCCAGGGCTGGGGAAGATGAAAACAGGAGGATCATTATGAATCTGAGCTGCATAGTGAGACCCTGTACCAAATACATTAAACAACAAAAAAAAATTTAAGAGCAGCTGGTGAAAGTTTGAAAACTGACAAAAGCAAGATCCAAAGACTCTACCTTGTTCCAGTTTCCTTGACCCTGAATTCTGTGTTTCAAGAAAGCAAAAGCAGGCACCTGAAGTGTCTGTTTTCTGGTGGAAAGGGTTGGATACCAGCAGGGGTGGCTTGGAACCATGAAACCCGTGTACCACCTTTGGTGAACTGGGTATGGACGAGTGGGCACGGCCACCCACACCTCCACCTCCACTGTGCCAACTAGATGTTCCATTAGATAAATACAATTTTTTAAAACATTTAAAATGAAAAGAAAGCAGTAGAATGCTGAAGAAACCAAGCCAAGCCTCCACATACTGTTGCTTCCCTGAAATGTTACATTTGCAACCAACAATTCTTGCCGCTCTCCCACTCTCCTTCCCTCGCTGTGCTTACCCCTCTCGCCTCCCTCACTCAAATGCGCTTTGGATCTGAAAGCTGGTAACCACAATTTCTCTCTCCGGAAGTGCTCACGCCAGGCTGCTGCCTGCCCCACTGCAGTCCTCCAGAAGGATGTGTCTCCCACTGCAACTACCATCTTCTCTTCAGCACAAATCTCAGCCTCCTCAAAGCTGCAATCTTAGCCTGATTGCATCTGATGATGCCCATCTAGATGTCTAGATGGGCACTTCTGAGAAGAAAGCAAGCTTGGGAAGTTACTGCTGATAAATTCTAGCAACACTGCATGTTTGGTTTATTCGGTTTTAGCTTTGTTTTCATTTTGCTTTTCACACAAGGTCTCACTTTGTACTTCAAGCTGTCCTTGAACTCACCATGATCCTCCTGCCTCAGCCTCCTGAGTGCTGAGATTATAGGTGTTCACCACCATGCCTGGCCATGACATGTGTTTAAAAAGTGACAAGCGGCTGGGGATATAGCTCAGTGGCATAAGTACCTGCTTGGTAAGCACAAGGTTCAGAGTTCAATCCTTGTTACCACAAAGCAAAGCAAAAAAAAAAAAAAAAGTTAAAAAATGACTTGTGGGAGGGTGTTGATAAATACAACACGAGATATGATTCTAGTACATTTTGTTGCATTTAAAAAATTCGTGTTGTTTGTTTTTTTTTTTTTTAAGAGAAAAAAGATAAAAATAATGAAACCAAGCTTCAATGTTCATGCTGCTATTTCATCCTGCCTGTGCTTTCTTTCTGGCCACTAGAGTTTCTGAACCATCTAATAACAAATATCGAAATTCCAGGGCTCAGGGGATAAGGCCTTACTTAATGAAACACAGAAGAATAGCCTTTTAAATATTTATTTTAAAACTTTTTTCAGCCATGACTGTGCTTCAGTATGTCGAGGGACATTCGGGAGCACGCTAAATCCACATTCCCTTTACCCTTCAATAGTAAAAGTGAAAACCTTCTGTGTAAAACCCGTAGAGCGGTGTACATGAGGTTTTCAAGGGCGAGCTGGGGAAGCCTCTTCTCAGGTCCTCGCCCTCGGCCAGGCGGCGCTGGCGATGGGGCCAGGCCGAGCTCTGGACCAAGCTGAAGCAGGCGGTGCCAGGAATTCTTGAGCATCAGACCACTAATTTCTACCGCGGACAAGGGTCTGGTCCTCTAGCCTGTAGGACTCTCTACTTTTAATTCATTTAAAAGTAGGGTCTGTAGGACTCTTTACTTTTAATTCATTTTTAACACTGGAAAGTAAGGGATTTTTTTTCCATAAATATTTGAGAATTATTTGGAGAGGGGCCGAAACAAACATTAGCAAATTAAGGTGCCCTGGGCGGGGTGGGCCCGTCTCTTTCCCCCAGAGTCATTTGTTGTTTTGAGTTGGGCCTACAGACGCGGGGTCTCCCGAGAGCCCCGCTGGAGCAGCGTGCCGGTACCTTCTCCATGTCGTCCCAGTTCGTGATGATGCCGTGCTCTATCGGGTACTTCAGGGTCAGGATTCCCCTTTTGCTCTGTGCTTCGTCACCCACGTAGCTGTCCTTTTGTCCCATTCCCACCATCACCCCCTGCGAAGTTGAACACAAAGACGCGTCAGCCCTTCTCAGCTTTGTGAATTGATGCCTGTCGGACCATACAGACTTACACCATGAGACAGAAACTTCCTACGAGCTTCGCTGTAAATACCACCTTAAACAATATCTCTTAGTTGCTTGGAAGCAGACCCGACAAGGCCTCCACATAACAGGGGATGCTGTGGGAGAGGCCACTTCACATGGTGTCGCTAGCATCTTCTCTACTCCTTGTTAGGTCTGAGATCTCCTCTGTCTTGTTTGGAAGACTATATAGGAAGCCCCTGGCTCTCCTTTGACACTCAGTACTTATTTGTTAAAAGAAGGTATGAAATATTAAATATTAGTTCAATAACACGCTGTTTCCTATAAATCTTTTAAACTGTGGGGTTTTTTTGGGGGTGGGGGCGCCGAGTTTGAGGCAGGGTATCTCCAAGTGTGGCTGAAGCTGCTTCCAAACTCACCATGTAGCTCCAGCTGGCGTCCAGTTTCAGTGATCCTCCTGCTTTGGCCTCCCAAGAGTTGAGATTACAGCCATGCACCCCCATGCCTGGCCATGAACTGTGCTTTTAAAGATGTCTTCTACCCCCAAATATACAAATACTGTTTTCTACTTATTATAAACAAAAGTATCACATCTACAAACAACCACTTGATTTCTGATGAACGAATCCATGCCAATCAACTGTTAAATATTTACCTTCCTACCCTACACATTTTAAACCTTAAAGTAGAATTCAAAACCTTCTCACTGCTAGATTTTTAACTAGAACTAGAGAGACTGCTTCCGAATTATAAAACAGATACCACTCTCCTAGATCTAAATTATTTGGCTTGTGCAAAATATTTCCCTTGTACAGTTTCACAAAAAAAGACTTCATTTATTAAAAAGCCTTCTCTGATTTATTTTTGTCAGACATGCTCAGTTGAGAGCTACAAACATCAATCAGATGGGCCTGAGGAAAGCACAGCTTTTGTTCTGTGATTGCCACTAATATTTTCTTTATATGTTTTTTGTTTGTTTGTTTGTTTGTTTGTTTGTTTTTGCAGAACTGGGGATTGAACTCAGGGCTTGCGCTTGCCAGGGAAGCGCATATTCCACTGAGCCATCTCCCCAGCCCATTTTATTTATATGTAACACGTAAACTTATTTGTGGCAGTCTACATGGATTTTGCTAACAGCTGCCACAATGTAAGATTACATTGCTATCAGTGTTACCTGCATCAATAAGCAAACTCCCTGAGGTTGAATAAGCTGGGCTTTTATTTTAATTTCTTTCCAAAAAGTAGCTATGATGTATTTTCAGATAGTTTAAAACGATTTCTTGGGGCCGGGGAGATAGCTCAGTGGTCTACAGCTCCGGCTTAGGTAAGTTTAGGCAAGTGCCGGTTTATTCCCCAGCACCACATGTCACACCAGCCCCGCCCCCAGGAAGGGCTGAGCCGTTCCCCAAAATAGTATTTCTGGTAATGATTATGACAATGACAATATTTAGATTTAAAAGATATATGAGAAATAAGCAGATTGTATATCTAATAGGCAACTATCAAATAATCTGTATACGATACTGGAATTCACTTCTGGATATAGATCATCATTATTAGGGCTAGAGATAGGATCTAGAGCTTCCCAGGCAGGCGCTTATGCTGCGGAACTGTATCTCCAGCCCTAGGACCCGGGGCTTTGCGATCCCGGCAAGCCTTTACTCTCTGTACTACACCCCCAGCACATCCTGGATGTGTTTTCAGCAAGGTGCCACTGGCTACCGGAGGAGCCCTGGGATGCGGAGACTTCGCCTTACGTCACTGACTTCTCATCGCTCCAATCCCGAGTGCGCTCACCTGGTGCCTGGGGCGTCCCACGATGGATGGGAACACAGCCCTGGGGGCGTCGTCCCCCGCAAAGCCAGCCTTGCACAGCCCAGAGCCATTGTCACACACCAGGGCAGTGCTGTCCTCTTCTTCGCACATAGCTGGCGCTGCTTCACGGGGTTCTGTGGAGAACACGGAGTGGTACTGGCGCAGCTGCCCAGGCGGGCTTCTCCCCTCTGCAGACTGGGCGTAGGCCCCTGCTGGGTTCTGCTGGCCGGTCTCCCCCACCAGCCCTTAACACTGCCTGGATCTTGAAGTATTTTCCTTAGGCAATAAGCTGCCATTTTTTGGTTGCCATGTGCACCACAGGCCTGCCACGCGTGCTCATCCACCCTTTAAGGATGGGTTGAACGAGTAAAGGCACGGGCAGTAAAGGTCCATATGTGTAATTTGAAAGAGAAAAATGATAAACAATGAAATCAAGTTTCTAAACAGGTTAGTAGGACAGTTACGCTAATTGGTACATTGCATATTGTTGTGTTCATTTAGTTATTAAGAATACAAGATATAGGCATGATATCATTTATATACATATATATATTTAGTTTTTATCATTATTTTTGCAGTGTTAGAGATTGAGCCCAGGATCTCACTCATGCTAGGCAAGTGCTCTATCACTGGGTAAGTATCTCCAGCTCCAATTTTTGTTTCAAGTTGGTGAACTCTTTAAACATTATGATACAGATAAAAAGCCAATTCCCTAAAAGTTCAGAGAAGCTGAAGAAGAAAACAGCCCTTACAGTTGGAGTTCTACCAGACCAACACTACAAAATCAAAACTGTGTTACCCTCATGCCCAAAACTTCCAGAGGAGAGCTTCGGGGAGCAGAGCCCTTTGAACAAATGAATGGAAACCTCAGTGGAGATGATGTGTGTTGAGATCAGGGAATGGAACGGTAGCCCTGACTGAGAACGGGGATCTCAGGGCGACGGAGCTTGCAGGACAGAGCGACTGCAAGCTGCCACTTAAAGTCACGTGGTTTGGATCTGCGTTCAGGCTCTGCCACTCTCAATTTATTTAACATCTCTAAATTACTGTTTTTTACACCATGAAACCACAATGATACACATAAAGTCTTTTATCAGAGACTCGATTTTAAAAAGCTAAAACAATTCCTAGCAGCTCATGGCTGCAAGGTCTCAACACATCAGATTCATTTTCATTACTAGCAGCAGCTTCTAATTAAGGTCATTACCAAGTTATTTTGTTTCTAATTTCAGCTTTTTTTCCACATAGCTCCAGGATTAGAATTGTTTGGCAACATAGAAACTTGGACTTCTCAATGGCTTGCCCATTTCTTTCTCACTGTCCTTTCTAGATAACTAAATTATATTTTTTCTACTTCCTAGAAGATAAATAACAAAAAAAAAATCGTGAGAAGATATTCAGGGTATTTGTCAGAGGCACCTGGCCTCAAAGGACCAGGAGGCAGCTAGTGGATGGGCTAGGCTTGCTTTCCAAACCAAAAGAAAGGGCTGAATCAAGATGAAATATTGGGAATTAGGATGCTCTCTGAAAATGGGGAGGAATATCCTAAAGTTCCTTTTTGTTGGGTAGGATGATTTGGGATGAATGTTTGAACATATTCAGAAAAAAAGTAGGCTGACACCCAACATGAGCAAGAATGTGAGGGGAAAAAATCCATAAAACTCAGTAAATATATTTATTTTTGGCATAAGAGATCCAGGAAGAATTTTATGATCCCTAAAAGGATCACTGTCCTTAGAGAAGCCTCTGTGTCCCCAGAGAGAGTGCAGACCCAGGGGGGTCAGCTCTTATCTAACCTGAATGGGCAGCTTGGTTTGGAGCAAAGCATTTCCTAATTAGGTAAAACACGCTTGCTCCAGCGTCTGTGTTTGGAACTGCACCCGGGTCAGGGGGTTTGCTCCATCCCAGAGGACTGCATCTGGTGCCAAAAATGAGTAGCTAGTGGGAGGGGAGAGAGTAAGTACGTCGCACTTCCCAGCTTGTTGGTTTTGAATCACAAACCATATTTAGTCATGAATCATAAAACGGAAGGAAAAAAATCTTAGCTTGAAAGCTCCAGTTCTAGCTGAACCTGCAAAGCCCTGATTTATAGCAAAAATCAGTGTGGGGTGGCAGGGCTGGCTCTATGGCCACACTCACCCCAAGAGGCAGAGAGGAACTGGAGCCCAAGATAAATGCAAACCAGACCTCCTCTCCGCTGGCAGAGACCCACAGCTGCAGAGCTGTCAGATGTGTGCTCTGTGGTCAGGCTGCCCGCTAAGTTTTGATGCAAATGAACACTATGCAGATGCTGGGAAGTAAGCTTGCAGCTGCATGGAGATACTTAGGTCTAATGTGGGACACTGCTGCATAGAGCCAGGGCATCCCACAGGTGGTACAAAATCCAGCCAAAACCAGAGTAGACAGTTGTCCTCACTTTTAAATTCCACTTACAATCACATCAGCTGCACCAATTTAAAACACAAAAAATCTACCCACCAAATCTGAACTGCAAACAATTCCAAAAGTTTTGCCTAAAAATAGATAAATAACTAACTTTCTATAAAAAGCAAGACTTCATTCCTATTCTGTGCTGCAAATCAGGACTGCTATTTAGAATAAACAGACTTCACAGGTCACATGCACGAATAAAATTTCATTCCCTCTCCCTCTCCACTTCCACAACCACATCAGATAGTTTATTATCCTTGATTTTAATATTAGATCATTAGAGTAAAATTCTATAACTGTTTAAGCAGTACAAGCTCCAATCAAAAGTATTAGAGTGTGGAATCCCATCCAAATCCCTGCAAATGTCTGATTATCCTGGGGCATAAAAGAGCTGCCAGGATCACCAAGTTGCAGCCTTGTGCTGGAGCCACTTACCCTGATGGTGCTTGCCTGGGCTTCTCCTCCCTGGGTGGGTGGTGTCCAGGAAGCAGGAGGCAGCAGGGTTATATGGCCCCTTAGCCTGCTCCCCTCCCACTTGCTTCCCAAACAAGGAGCAAAGACAGACTGGAGCCCAGCGTTCTGTCTAACACAACCATATAGGGACCTCAGCACAAAACTCTCTAATCTGGGTGGCCGAAGGCCTGGGTCTCATCCACTGCATTCCAGTGCTCTGCTCGTGAAACCAGAGGCAGCTCAGCTGCTTGTGGGAGATCAGCAGCCCAAGCCTTCAGCACAGCTGCAGGGATGCTGAAGATGTGGGCTAGTGTGCTGGGGCAGATGCAGCCCGCACGTCCCTCGAAGAGTGCCAGCCTGCTGTCAGCTTGGCCTTCTAGGCCATTAGCTGGTAACTGAGAGCAGTGCAGGGCTGCCTCTGAACTCCAGGGAGGTCACTTTTACACACTTTCCTACAAAGATGGCTCAGAATGAAGAAAAATGTTTCTTTAGTTGCCCATAAATATTCAGAGGGAGTGATGATCGTTTTATGGTAGTTACACTGTAATTATAAATCAGGTCTAGGGTTTGAAGTGCAGAGACAAGGCTGACCAGCCTGTTTTACAAAGAGCAACTTGGCAACTAGCATCATCCCAACTGCTTAATCCATGGGCACATAAGATATGTCAATCAGTTTGTCGCCTACCAGTTTAGCAGTATGAGTAAAGGCCATCCTTTGGCCCAAGAGATTATTCGGCATCTTGTCATAGAAATAGTTTGAGAGAAAAAAGGATGTACAGGGAAAGCCTCCTAAATTGCCTCCACCCACAAATCCACTTGACAAGAAGGGAGATCAGAGGATGCTGTCATTTGTCCAAGACATCAGGTCTCATTCTCAAGTGCCATGGTTGGCTTCTATGGCTTTACATCTCTCAACCACCCTCATCCACACCAAGTGTGAAGTCAGTTCATAATAGACATATTTTCGATGGATACCATGAGCATTTCTGAACTGCTGACATGATAGAAAAAGTCCTCAAATGAATGGCTTTATTTTACAGCTGCGATAATCTGTTCACTGGTGCCATGATGTCTTCTCTGTTTTATTTTGGCATATATTTATGTAAATGCACATTTATCTTTGAGAACTTGGCTCTTAATCATTAGGAAAATTTAAAGATTATGACTAACATGACATACTTTTTCTGTATTGCTCAGGATTTTGTTAGCTGTATGTAATTTCTACCTACCACAACACACAACTGTCCGATGTTTTGTCTGATGTTCAAATGTGAAGACTGTACAGTACAGCATAAAGTTGGGTATTTGGGGTTAATATAATAGTTTTCTTCACAGAGCTCATGTTTTCTGGGTTGAGTAAAGGTAGTATCCCTTCCACTACCATCCCAGGCAGGAACTGTGTAAATCTATGAAATGACAGGTTTTAAAAAAAAAACCTTAAAGAAAAGGATTTTGATAGCCTACTAATGCGTATGTCATTTCTTTTATGGCTGTCGTGTACAACCATGGCCATGGCAATAATAACAGGATGAGGATATAAAGGGAACTCATGGTTGAGTTTTTCTTACAAGTTTTATTTTTAAAAGCATAAAAATAAATCAATGACATTAACCAGGGAGGACTTGTAACTGAAAATATACTTCTGAACAAGTGATTAATGATTTCATTGTCTAAGTTAGAGATTTATCCTTGCGCATCCAATCCAAGTCTCTTCAGTGAGAGAAAACAGCACTGGATGAGTATATGTATGTGCGAAGAAATATCCACTCAAGTGGCTCGATTTCTCCAGGGCCTGACAGCTGAGTATCCAACAAGTTATGGAGCAATTAGAAAAGCAGCAGCGTCTGGAGACTTGGTTGTGATTCAGGAAACTATAAAATAAATTCCAACTATAAGCACACATTCAAAAGCCAGCTCCACAAGTGTTGTTCTGCAAACTTCACATGCCGTCTCCGTGACATTATTTAGTAATGATTTACTGAGAATCCCTTGAGAACGCAGGCAGTCATAATCTTCTTTGGGGCTCAGTCCAGAACTGAATACATGAAGGTGCTCATCTGCCACAAGGCCAGTGCAGTAGCCACAAGCCATACGTGACTATCAACCAGTATAATGTATGTGGATATTTGATTTTTAAAATCTTAGTCTTCATTAAATTTCAATTTGAATAGCTGTGTATTACTCATGACTACTGCATTAGAAGGCACAAGAAAAGCAAGTAAGCTTTTTATTTTTTCAGTACCAGGGATCAAACTCAGGACCTTGCACTCTCAGGGCAGGCACTTATCCCACTGAGCTCTCTCCTCAGCCCACAAGTAAGCCTTAAACTTACTTTCTGTGGCTGCCACAGAAATCCCCAAAAGAACTGTTAGTCAACCCAGTGCTCCAGGACTGATTAAAACAGAGGAAGTGGCACAGGAAACAGGCGTCCCACGTGTAGCCAACCGTGACACCCTTCCCAGTAGGACAGGGTTCTGAAAAGCAAGGCCCGTACATTCTCTGCATCAGAACCAAGAGCTGAGTGTGCTAGTGACGCACAAGTCCTCACAACACACTCCTGAACCACATACTTTGGAATCACTTTTTTTTTTTTTTTTTTGGCCTTTTGAAATAGGCCACTATGTAGTTCATGCTGACCTTGACCTCACTTTGTAGCCAAGACTGGTCTTGAACTTGCAGTGATCCTCCTGCCTCAGTCTCCTGAATACTGGGTTTACCGGCATTTGTGACCACAACCACTCTGGAATCACTTTTTAAAAATAATCTTTTTATTTTAGAGTAGAATTCAATCTATAGAAATGTTAAGAGCATAGACTGGTGTGTTTCCACATACCTTGCCTCCACTTTTCTGTATTAATAATATCGCATACATCAATGTATGTTTGTCGCAGATAATGAACCAATATTGATACATGATTTTTTTTTTTTAATGTGGCCTACTCAGCCCGTTCTGGGGACAGGGCCAATGCGACCTATGGTGCTGGGGATCAAATATGGTCCCTGAGCTTGCCTAAGCTTGCCTCCTTTTGTTTTTAATTTTTTATTTTTTTCACTACTGAGGACTGAACTCAGGACCTTAAGCTTGCTAGGCAAGCACTTAAGTTGCTGAATTATTTCCTTAGTCCCCTAAGCTTGCCTAAGCAGGCGCTTTAGACCTCTGAGCTATCTTACTAGCCTTAATACATGATTGTTAACTAAAGTCCATACTTTATTCGTATTTCATTAGTTCTTAACTGTTCCTTTTTGGTTGCAAGATCCCATTTAGGACACCACACTGTACTCACTCTCGTTTCCTTAGGTTCTCCGTGGCTGCAGGGTTTTAGACTTCTCTAACTTTTAACGACTTTGACCATTTTGAGGAACACTGGGCATTTTGTAAAATGCCTGTCAATTTAGGTTTGATGTTTTCCCAATGACCAGAGTGAGGTTGTGTTTTGGGAGAAGAGCCTGGAGATGAAATACAGCACCGTCTCATCACTTTGACCAAGGGTGCCGGTTACCAGGTGACTTAGCGCCTGTGATGACCTGACTTGCCTGTCTGCTGCTGGGCAGACTCCTCTTCCCCTGGGCCTTCCATACTGTACTCTTTTGATGGGGGTTATTATGGACAACTGCACTTATAGAATTGGGATTTACATTTCACTTCCTGGAGGGCAGAATATGTATGTAAACTGTCTAGAATGAGATTAGTTTTTCAGAGGATCCTCTGTGATATTCTTATTCATATCAAAATTTGAGTCCCTCACTGTGCTACTCAGTTTTTTCATTGCTGAGACAAAAATACCTGATGCCCAGAAGTTAAAGGAGAAGAAATTTACTTTGGCTCAAAGCTTTAAGGCCTTGGTCCATCATAGCTAGGTAGCTCCCAGGCATACACATCATGGTGAAAAGATGGGGCAGAGCTCAGCTCCTGGTGGTCGGGAGGTGGAGCAGGAGATCAGCACAGGGAGCGAGGAGCCAGACACCGATCCCGTGGAGGATCAGTGCTTCCACGATCCTGGAGGCCAGGCCTCCATGGCCCCCCGGAGGCACCCGAAGTCTGCCCTGCCAGGCTGTTGGGTGGATCCCCGGCCAATCATACGGACACTGCTCCCTAACTGACACTCTCAAATGACCTGCTGAAGGACAGGAAGTACTGTGATGTGCTGGGGCTCCTTCCAGCTGCACTCTGATTCCCTTGAGTGTGGATGAGATGGAGAATGGCTGGGTTTGCTGGCCCTCTGTGAGAGCTAGCTGAGAGTCAGTTATTTAGTCTAGAAACCAAACCACAGACCTGCTGGACACAAAACAAAGAATAAATATAGAATTGTTGATGTTATTGCCATGGAGTGCTTGGCAGTTGGACCACAGCATATTGGAGGAGTAATGCAAAACCATAGCAAGAAGCACATAGATAGTGTCTTGGACTAAATCTCAGATGCTGTGGAGGAAAAGCTAAAGAAGGGAAAGCATCAGCTCTATCAGCTAGAGGAATGGGTGTGTTGTGGGGGGAAGAATTCTAGAACGCACATGGCTGTGTGCAGAGGACCACCAGGTACAGGTATTTCAGGGCTAGAATACCATAATCAATAGCAGTGACAAACATTTACAAAGCAGTTCGTATATAGCAGGCGCTCATATAGCAGCATTTCGCTGTCAATTCTACTATTAATAACAGATCCATTTTCAGTTAGGCTCTGGAGCCTGACAGGGTTTAAATAAACTTACCATTACTTCAGATTATCTTAAGATTCAGACTCAGCAGGCCAGTGGGATTACTCAGCGGTCTAAAGCACCTTCTTAGGCAAGCTTAGGCAAGCACACAGGGACCGTGGTTCGATGCTTGGCACTACACACTGCAGCAGCTCTGTCTTCAGGGCCTGCTGAGCCTGCCAGAGTCTGGCACAGTGGCACAATCCTGTAATACCAGCACTGGTGAGGCTGAAAGCAGGAGGATCACCACGAGTCCAAACTACACAGTGAGAGCCTGCAACAATCAAATGCATTAAAAAAAAAATCCAGTGAGGCCCCTGAGACGGCATGAGGCCTGCCTCAGTGCACCATGGTGTGAAGAAGCACAAGCACCTATCATGTTCCTGGGGAAGGCATAATTGGCACGTATGCATTGTGCTTACCACAAAACATTCA